GAGGGGCCAGCCGGTCGAGGAGGCGACTTGGGAGACCGAGCAGGATATGCGCAGCTGTTACCCTCATCTTTTCACTACTCCAGGTATGTCTCTATGATCGTTCGAGGACGAACGAATGTTTTAAGAGGGGGAGGATGTAACGACTCGGCTGGTCGTTTTAAGAATTAACGCTTGATCCCCTATTAATTGCATTCCCCGTGTTTGTTCCTGCTATTGTAAGTTGCCGGGAAGGTTCGTTTTGGATTTCGGAGTGTTTTGGGACACTTAGTCCCTAAATGAGAGTTTAAGCTTTAGAATTTAGACCGTAGTTGGAGAAGTGTGAAGACAGCCTTGGAATGGAATTTCGTCAGTTCCATTAGCTCCGGTGGGTGATTTCGGGCTTAGGGGCGTGTTCGGATTGTATTTTGGAGGTCCGTAGCGTATTTACGCTTGAAATGCCGAAAGTTGAATTTTTGAAGTTTCCGGTTCGATAGTGAGATTTTTATCTAGGGGTCGGAATGGAATTCCGAGAGTTGGAGTAGCTCCGTAGTGTTGAATGTGGCGTGTGTACAAAATTTTAGGTCATTCGGACGAGGTTTCATAGACTTTTTGATCGAACGGAGAAATTGGAAGTTTTGGAAATCCTTAGGCTTAGATTGGAGAGTGATTTGTGGATTTAGCGTTGTTTGATGTGATTCGAGGTTGGAATAAATTCGTATGATGTTTTAGGACTGGTTGGCATGTTCGGTTGAGGTCCCGGGGGCCTCGGGTGAGTTTCGAGTGCTTAACGAAAGTTGAATTGGACTTAGGAGAAATATGAAGTTGGCTGAACATGTCATAATCGCACATGCGTGTATTGGACCGCAGGATGCAGATGCGGTCCATGCACCGCAGAAGTGGCATCGCATCTGCGTAAAAGGGGGTCGCAGGTGCGGCATTCTTGGTTTAATGAAAAGTCGCAGGTGCGACATGGTCTCCGCAAAAGCGGACCGCAGGTGTGGCCTTAGAGCCGCAGATGCAGTTCCACTGGTCAGGAAAAAAAGGGCAGAAATGAGGGTTTAGTCTCAAAACCTTAGAAATTGATTTGGGAGCTCGGGATTGGCGATTTTGGGAGAGATTATCACCTGGGTATTTTGGGTAAGTAATTCTTACTCGGTTTTGATTAATTTCCACGAATCTATGCTTAAAATCATCCTTTAAATTCGAATTTGGGGTGAAAATTTAGAAAAGTTCTTAGGCCTAGTTTTGGAGTTTTAATCAAGATTTTGATGTCGGATTGGAGTAATTTATTTATATATGAACTCGTGAGAGTGTGAGGATTCTGAATTTGAAAATTCTACCCGATTTTGAGGCATGGGCCCGGGGGGCTTTTGGTCATTTTTTTCTAATTTCGCGTATTATCTTCGAATTAATTAGTTGAATTAGTTAATTAAAGTTATATTTACATTATGCAATTACTTTAAATAGATTTGGTCCATTTGGAGTTGGATACTCGTGGCAAGAACGTGATTTCGAGTGAATTTTTGAGCTGGTTCGAGGTAAGTGGCTTGTCTAACTTTGTGTGGGGGAACTCCTCTTAGGATTTGGTATTGTTGATATATGAAATGCCTTTTACGTGAGGTGACGAATGCGTACATGTGTTAATTGTTGAAAATCCTGTTTTCATAAGTAACTATACCTGTGTTTTCCTCCCTGTTTATACTACTTGCAATTTAAGCCTACTGTTAGCTTAGGAAAGCATGTCTAATTGACTTAATTGTTTTACTCGCTCAAACTGCTTTATTTGAATTCTGTGCAGCATGCTAGGTTAGAAATAACTGTTTTACCTTGGTATGAAATTAGTTTGAATTTAATATTCTTCGTGTTGTTGTTGTGTGTTTACTTTGGGACTACAGGCGATATCCCGGTAAATCCCCCTTACCTGTTTATTTGGGACTATGGATTGATGTTCCGGTAGATCCCCCTGCACATTATATTGGAACTACGGGACTACACCCGGTAAATTCCCCCAGTACTAGGTATTTACAATTGGGACTACGGATCAAGATTTTCGGTAGATCCCCGTGCACTATGAGTCGGACTACGGGACGACACCCAGGAGATCCAATGGATATTTACATTTGGGGACTATAGGACAGTATCCTGGGAGATCCCCGGTTGCTATCTCTGTGTAGAGTTACGTTCCTATTTGTAATTTTCTCTCTGTTGTATTTGTTATTATTCTTATTATCCTGTGTTACTTCATACTGTTAGTATTTAATTATATTGTCATATTCTATACTGTTTTACCTCGTTTTTCAGCTATAATCAGTAGGGCCCTGACCTTCCCCATCACTACTCGACCGAGGTTAGGCTTGGCACTTACTGAGTACTGTTGTGGTGTACTCATGCCCTTTCTGCGCATGTTTTTCATGTGCAGATCCAGGTTCTTCGGCTCAGCCCTATCATCCTTGAGGCGAGGCGATTCTTCAGAGACTTTGAGGTATATCTGCTGCGTCCGCAGACCAAGGAGTCCCTCTCCTTTCTCTCTAGTAGTTATTTCCCTTCTGTATTTACTTTGATCTAGACATTCTGGTGTTAGAGCACTATGTAGTATTCATAGCTTGTGATTTCATGAGATTCTGGGTTTTAGGAAGTTGTTCAGTTTTTGAGATCTTATATTAGTATATGCCGAGCGGCATCTTAAATGCTTCTATATTTGTTTATCTTCAGTTTTTATTAGTTTTTCCGCATTTGTTTTCTCTTTTTCAAAATTGTTAGGCTTACCTAGTCTTAGAAACTAGGTGCCGTCACGACAGTTCATGGAGGGCGAACTTGGGTCGTGACATTCATGATATAGTCGTCACCTTCTTCGAGCTTCGAGCTCCTAGATTGACTATTCTCGTTAGATTCTGTTGCATTGTACCATAAATCAGAAGTGAGAACATCGCAAGTGTAGTGTTTAGAACATTAGATGATCTCTTCTTTTCTGTTAAAGTGTTACTGAGCTGAATTAGCCAGTACATATGCTGATGGGAGAAAATAGGGGCGCGTAAACTTACCCAAACACCCACTTATTATCCGGAGAGAACTTCAAATAATAGTAAGAAAATATTTCGTGATTCATTTACTTCTCATGAGGTACATATCACATCTTGTTTCCAAGATGTTTTTCTTCTCTTTCAATGTTGGATTGTTGATGTTGTAATTGATGTATTACATAAAGTTATTTTATTTTTCATAGTTATGCTAGAGTCTTTATATTTATGCTAATATTTTGACAATTTATTTTATTTTATAGTTTTATGATCTTAACGTATTTTTAACAATTTTTAAATTTTTCTACTATTTGTAGACTTATAAATTAGCAAAAATTTAAAGATTCATGGGACATACGTTTCGCCTTGTGCCCCGTCTTTTAATACAATACGTCAAACCTTAAAACTCAAATTGCGCCATTTTTGTGCTTTTCTAATTTTTAAAATCTTCTGGAAAACCGCGAAAAAGAGATCAACATTTCTTATTTTAGAATAGATAGGTTATAAACCATTTCGGGAAAAAGTTCTCAAGAGACCATCATCTTCATTTCACTAAGTTTGAATAAATGTTCAGAAGATATACTTATGGACCAATAAAAGAATACAGTCAGTTAAAAGTTAAAACATGCAATATTAGACAAAGAAGACGACAGAACTAAGAAAAGTAGAATGCAAAGAATTCCGATACAATGAGAACAATTGATGGAGATCTCGAGGATCTTACTTAAACCAAATAATAAATAATACAAATTATTAAAACAAAAGAACATTGAACACATAATAAGTAAACCCGATCATTTCGGGAAGCATACATCAAATTTTGGCAGAGGAAATGGAGTTGCCAAAAATAAGAGGACAAAAAGGAATTAGAAGTCATGGAAATGGCAGAAAATGACTGAATAATTAATATCAGTAGTAGGTTGGTGGAGGAGATGTTGATGGGGGTGGAGGTGAAACATAGGTGACGGATTGCTCGTACTTCTCAGGTGGTGGAGGTGAGGCATAGGTGGGAGTTTGCTTGTAATAGTTTGTCGGTGGTGGGGGTGAGTAATAAGATGGTAATTTTTCATAGGTCTTCGGTAGAGATGGCAAGTTGTAGGTTATAGGTGATTGCTCGTAGTATTTTGGTGGAGGTGGAGGAGATTTATAGGAAGGTGTAGATTCTTTATAGTACGGTGGAGGTGGAGATTTGTAAGAAGATGGTGATTGCTCATAGTATTTTGGTGGGGGTGGAGGTGACTTGTAATAAGGTGACTGCTCATAGTATTTCGGAGGAGGTGGAGGTGACTTGTAATACGAAGGTAATTTTTCATAATAAGCTGGTGGTGGTGGAGACTTGTAGTAAACTGGGGACTTGTAATATTTTGGTGGCGGTGGTGACTTGTAGTATTTAGAGGGAGCAGGCGATTTGTAATATTTTACTGGGGATGGTGACTTGTAATACTTTGTAGGCGATGGTGACTTGTAGTAGTTCTTTGAAGGAGCTGGTGACTTGTAGTATTTAGCGGGAGCTGGCGACTTGTAGTATTTAGCGGGAGCTGGCGACTTGTAGTATTTTGCGGGAGCTGGCGACTTGTTGTAGTTTGCGGGAGCTGGCGACTTGTAGTACTTTGTGGGAGCTGGCGTCTTGTAGTACTTTGCGGGAGCTGGCGACTTGTAGTACTTTGCGGGAGTTGGTACCTTGTAGTATTTTGCGGGAGCTGGCGACTTATAGTATTTTGCGGGAGTTGGCACCTTGTAGTATGTGGCAGGAGCTGGCGACTTATAGTATTTTGCGGGAGTTGGCACCTTGTAGTATGTGGCAGGAGCTGGCGACTTATAGTATTTTACGGGAGCTGGAGATTTGTAGTATTTTACGGGAGCTGGTGACTTGTAGTAGTGCTTTGTAGGAGGAGGTGACTTATAGTAAGGAGTAGGTATATGATACTTGGGTGAAGATGGTGATTTGTAATACTTCTTAGAATTGTAAGAAGGTGAGGGAGAAGCATACCCGTAAGAGTAATCAGCAACAACAGTGCTAGCTACAAAGCAAATTGCCAAAGCAGCAGCAAGAAGAGGCCATTGCCCTAAATTCCCAAAGCTTCTCATTTTGCAACTATAGTGGGACAAGAGAAGGATAGAACTAAGACTTGTGTTGCATAGTTAAGTTGGGAACTCTAGTTTTTATATTGCAGCGAGACATCTTTCTTAACATTTTATGTAACTGCATCATGGTTAACCACTAAGATGATAGCAAAGTCCAAATAAAGACTAGGTCAATACTTAGTGGCAAGCACTTCTTTGGTGATTGAAAATTATAATTTAGAAAAAAAATATTAAAATCAAAATGAAAAAGAATAAGGTTGCCACGACTGGTATCGAATTGCTGAAGTAAAGGAACTGACTATTTGGCATTTTCCATGAGGGGGGATGAGGTTTCTTTCTTCTTTCCCCAAGCAAGAATGTATAAGTTGGTATGTAGATATAATTACGGTATATTGGACATGAAGTTCAAAAACATGAGGCTCTTGTCTTGTAAAATGCACGCCCAACGCTTGAGGCTCGTCCCATTATGTTTTGTGCAAACGAGTATAATTAGCCTTGTAAATCCAAATATTCCTTAACTAAATTTAACTCTTTAAAAGCCATCGTCATTTATCATAAATTAGAAGTCGAAATATTGCACCCAAAAAATGGGTCCTAATATTGTTTTGCATTAAGGACACTATAAGGGTGAATTTTGATGGAACCTTTCATCAGGAAAAAATAGTTATGTCTTAGCTAGGGGTGTATATAAGTTGGGTTGGTTTGGATTTTATAATTACCAAAGCAAACCAATTATGTCGGGTTATTAAATCTAAAAATCAAACCAAGCCAATAAAATTCGGGTTTTCAATCTCGATTTTTCTCGGATTTTTGGGTTATTCGGATTTTTTCGGATTTTTTCCCGATAAAATCTTCATAGCACAAAACATATAACTTGTGCTCAAAATATTTCTTTAATCCTAATAAGATACAACTATATAAGGTATTTTCCAAGAAAATAATACAAAATATGAGATGCGTCATGGCATTATCCTAAATTCAACAATAAACAAATAAAATTATGTAATATAAATATTGTTAATTAAAAAACCATGATAAAAATAAGAATAATCTAAAAGTACTAAGTCATGCTAAAATAAGTAGACTAATAAGGTAAATATTGCACGGGGCGCCTAATTGGTGCCCCATTTAACTTATACCCATTTTTTTAAAAACTTTTAACTTNGAGGGTTAATCCAGAGATCATTGTTATACAAAGTTCTGTTTTGCTTTTGCTTTTTCCACGGTCGAGCTATCTCTTTCGTTTTTAAATCAACTAATTATTCAAATAAGTATTCCAATTAGCCAGTTAGCCTAATATTTCTATGATCTGGATCAAGCAGTCAACGTTAACATTAGGTTGGTGTCTAATCCGCCCTTTTTCTTGTTCGACACAGCAGTTCCGTAGAAGAAACCAGACTAGCATTTTCATGTGTGAGACAAGAGCAAATTAGAAAAATTTCAGCTCTAGCCAGTTACAAAACAAAAACTTCAGCTCTAGAGCTGAAGTTCGCCAGTTACAAAACAAAACTTCAGCTCTAGAGCTGAAGTTCGCCAGTTACAAAACAAAGAGCTGAAGTTCGCCAGTTACAAAACAAAAACTTCAGCTCTAGAGCTGAACTTCACTCCCGTCTACCAGAATGCTGAGGTTTTGCGTGATTGCCTTTGCTACTTCAGCCCCGTATGCTGAAGTTATGCGAAAAAGCGAATACGCTTGCAATTATTTTTTCAAAGCGGGCACAAGTTAAAACGTGACACAAAAAACAGGTATAGATGCAAATGGGGAGTATTAATTACATGATTAAACTCTAAAGAAAAAATAAAATTAGATTATGCATTTTTATCTAAATTATTGCAAAACAAAAAATAGATATTCATTACATTGACGTTTGTAGTATTGAATTGAATGTCTTTTGTTAGCATTAGTATTGATTTGATTTCGGTTTGAGCTTTTTTAGCATTATAGGAATTTTTACCTCTTATAGCAAAGGTTAACACCTTATTTATTTTAAATAAATACCATTTTAAAAATTATATTCTATAGATACCTTTTAATGTTTATAGCAAAATATCTAATTTTGGTTACCTCCTACCCCTAAGCCACTAAATACGCTATTTAGTTACACTATTTTCTTTCTCTCTCTACTTTGATACATGACATTCTCTTCCCTCATTCCTTAAAAACACGATGCTCAATCTCAAAATTTCTCTCACCCACATCACCTACCATTAGCCACAAACGGTGATTTTCAATTTGACTTTTAATTGCAAGCAATCTACACCCAACTGCCCCACCTTCATTTCCTTCAACCTGCAATACTCTTTCGTAAACTCGAATCAAACCTTCTTGTCCTCTAGAAACTTCCATTACCCCCTCAACTTCTTCACTGTTATTATAGCTTATCCCTATTTTCTTGTCTATATTTGAGTCACCAGTGATGTTTATAACCTGTTCATGGCAATTTGGTAAGGATCTTCGAACCGGATTTTCCATCTGGTTTGAGTTTCGAGATTCTTAATTACACCGCCGGTAATTAAACCACAAACAAATATGCAAATTCTGCTACAATGGTAATGCGTGGGAACAATGAGATTCAGGATTTTTGCTCGACGGCGGATTCGCCGGAAATTAGTGTTTGTTCTTGAACAGAGACGACGGAGTTTGGGGCTGAGCAACTTGATTTTTTGTTAATATATTTCAATGTATTTTTAACGTATCACGCTGTATTTTCATGTATTTTATTGTATTCATTGTCTTTTTTTCATTGTAATTCATTGTATCTCGCTATATTTCATGTATTTCATTGTATTCACTGTCTTTTTTTTCATTGTATTTCAATGTATCCCGCTGTATTCTATGTATTCCATTGTATTCACTGTCTCGCTATATGCCATGAATGTATTCATATGTTTTTTTAATTAATATAATTTATGTATTCAGATGTATTATATAATTTCTCTGAAGATTGCTATGTTTTTAGGGTATTTTTCGGTTGATAATCTTTTTTATAACTGGAAATACAAAATTTGTGTGTTATAATTGAGTTTGTTGAGTTATATTAGGAGTCTATTATGTTAATTGATTCACTTTCCGTTTAAAAATAGTGTAATCCCCTGTTTCACGCCATGAATACAGTCGGATACAGTTTAATACAATAATCTATCCAGCTCTAAGCCCATGTTTCACGCCATAAATATAGTCAAATACACTCGAATACAACAATTGATTAGCTGGACTTCCCTGATTCATGCATATTTTTGTTATTGTATTCATGAATACAGTAGCTTAAATACACCTAATAAATCTTATAACAACAGAAAACGTATCTACAATCCGTAATATAGCAAATGGTATCTATAGATATCTAATTACTACTAAAAGACAGTGCTTTATGAAAATTTCTCTTTAAGTTACTAATATTATATAATGGCTATAAAACTTATTGGAAATTTGGAACATTCAAAAGTTTTAAGTTAAACCTTGAAATAATATCTTAAATGATTAAATTATGAAAAAGTTTAAGAAATATTTATAAATTACATCATAATAAGTATATTTATATATTAAATATATCTAAAATTTCTATATATGTAATGTCGGGTTGATTTGGTTTCGGTTTGACTTTCTTTAGTTAAAACCAAACCAAACCAATTATGGTCGGGTTTTTTTTTCCAACACCAAATCATATCAAAACCATATTCGGGCTTTTTTTCTCGGTTTGACTCGGATTATCAGGTTGGTGCGGTTTGTCGGTTTCCTTTGTAGACCCTTGGTCTTTAACTTTTGCAAGGTCTTCATAATTACGGTCTATATTTTTTTTCTTCAAGTTCTGCTCTTTTAATTATTCTGTTCCGGTTGATAATAATAGTTTCCTTCTCATTTCATGGGGTGTGAAAGCTCTAACTGTTAGAAAATAACAATTTACAAACAACTATATCAAAAGTTCTCTTTTATTGACGAATCATAGTATTGTAAGATGTTTGTTAATTTATTAACCAGTTGGAAGCACACCGTGCTGGAGTTGAATTATGTAATTGTAATTATTCATGTAAGGCTAAGTTACCATTTCTGATTTATCTAATCTAATATTTGATTGCATCTTAAACAAGAAATTTAGTAATATTAATATTAGTCTTTAACAAACTAGATGGTTTCTTCCTACCGAAGCCAAGTTGGTTAGAGTTACTCGGGTACATGTACAGGTGGGAGGTGCCAAATACACGATTTCTAGAACATGGTGCACCACTAAGGAAAGGAGCAAAAAATAAGTATTAAGTGGGAATTGATCCTTATTCCTTGAGTAAATAACTCATTATCCAACTAAGTGCATTATTCAGCCTTTTGAAGTATAGGGCCAGCGGATAAATTAGACGAATTCTAGAAAATACATACTTAAAATACCTAATTTGGCAGAGAGACCGTAAGTTCATGTGCTCCATAATCTGAGCTATAAATCCGCCCCTTAGATATACAGCGTAATAGTCAATGTATGTGTAAACTGACTTGTACCCATTCGTCATCAAAATGGAGAAAATTTTAAATTAGTAGTATGAAGAAAGTGTTTCTCGACTCATTTACCTCTCCATAAATACTTCACACTTTGTTTCAAAGATAACTCTTGTTTTCTTTTGATGTTTGGATTGTTTGGACATTGTAGTTGATCGTATATCATGGTATTATACAAAGTTATTGTAACTTAAAAATTAGCAAAATTTAAAAGATTCAAGGGCTTACACGCCATGTCTGGAAATTTATATCTCGCCTTGTGTCCCTGTCTTTTAATACACTATGTCAAATATTTTTTATTTTGGAAGTGTGCCATTTTAGCCTTTCAATTATTTTCTTACATCTTTGGAAACTGTTAAAACAGATTAATATATTCGTAGGTTAGCAATTCTTTAGCGGATAGGCTATAAACCATTCTTGGGAAAAAATAATTCTCAAGACACAATACCACTTCATTTCAACTAAGTTTGAATATATGTCATGAGGTATTCTTATGGAACAACGAAAGAATTCAGTCGATTAAAGCACGCATTATTAGACAAAGAAGATGACAGAATTAAGAAAAGTAGAATGCACAGAATCTCGATATAATGAGCGGAATTGATGGAGATCTGGAGGATCTTACTTAAATCAAATAATAAATAATACAAATTATTAAATAGAAGAACATTGAACACACAATAAGCAAAAGCCGATCATTTCGGAAAGCATAAATCAAATTTTGGCGGAGGAAATGGAGTTGCTAAAGATAAAGAGGACAAAAAGGAATTAAAGTCATGGAAATGGGGGAAAATGATTGAATAGTTAAAATTAGTAATAGGTTGGCGGAGGAGATGCTGATGGGGGTGGAGGTGAAGCGTAGGTGGCGGATTGCTCGTACTTCTCAGGTGGTGGAGGTGAGGCATAGGTGGGAGTTTGCTTGTAATAGTTCGCTGGTGGTGGAGGTGAGTAATAAAATGGTGATTTTTCATATGTCTTTGGTAGAGATGGCAAATTGTAAGTTATAGGTGATTGCTCATAGTATTTTGGTGGAGGTGGAGGAGATTTATAGGAAGGTGTAGATTCTTTATAGTATGGTGGAGGTGGAGATTTATAAGAAGATGGTGATTGCTCATAGTATTTTGGTGGGGGTGGAGATGACTTGTAATAAGGTGACTGCTCATAGTATTTCGGAGGAGGTGGAGGTGACTTGTAATATGAAGGTGATTTCTCATAATTAGCTGGTGGTGGTGGAGACTTATAGTAAACTTGGAACTTATAATATTTTGGTGGAGGGAGTGACTTATAGTATTTAGAGGGAGCAGGTGATTTGTAATATTTTGCTGGGGATGGTGACTTGTAATACTTTACAGGCGACGGGGATTTGTAGTACTTTGTCGGCGATGGCGACTTGTAGTAATTCTTTGAAGGAGCTGGTGATTTGTAGTATTTCGCGGGAGTTGGTGACTTGTAGTACTTTGCGGGAGTTGGTGACTTGTAGTACTTTGCGGGAGATGGCGACTTATAGTACTTTGCGGGAGAGGGCGACTTGTAGTACTTTGCGGGAGCTGGCGACTGGTAGTAGTACTTGGCGGGAGCTGGCGACTTGTAGTAGTATTTTGCGGGAGTAGGTGATTTGTAGTACTTTGAAGGAGCAGGTGATTTATAGTAAGGAGTCGGTATATGATACTTGGATGGAGATGGTGATTTGTAATACTTCTTAGAGGCATAAGAAGGTGAGGGAGAAGCATACCCATAAGAGTAATCAGCAAAAACAGTGTTGGCTACTATGCAAATTGCCAAAGCAGTTACAAGTAAAGGCCATTGGCCCAACTTTCCTAAGCTTGTCATTTTGCTTATGCAGCCAACAATACTTAGAGAAAGAATGAAAATATCTTAAACTTGTCTTGCATATTGAGTAGGGAGCTCTGGTTTTATATAGCAATGTGACATCCTTAGTTTCCTCAATGCAATGCCTTCATGGTCACCCACTAAGATAATAGCAAATTCCAAATAAAAACACCATTTGGTGATTCTGGTGACTGAAATAATAATGTAGTATTTAACACTAATAAAAATAAATTTAAATAATTAAAAAACTGTCAGGATACCACTTGAGTTATGGCATCCTACTATCAAAGTAAAAGGTTGACTTTTTCTTAAAAAAATAAACAGAAAAAGGGGGCATTTCTTTTTGTTCTTCTATCAACTACATACCACTAAGTATCGAACATGGAGTTCAAGGAAAACAGTGAATGCACACACAAGAGAAACCACATATATATCTGGATCTGAGAGCCCCTTATCCCAAACCTAAAACTTCACGTTAGACTCTCCTTGAGGAATCCAAGATTATTCCAATTTTGGGTAAAACCTGCCCTCAAGTTTCTCTGCTTCCATTGATTCAGCCTTAAGGACTTGTAAATGAAGCAGTGTGAAGAAATGAACAAATCAAATAAAACAAATAAGGCCACTGGGCTCAACGAAAAGTTGAAAAATTAGCTACCGGAAGTCTAATTTATCTATATATTTTTTTGATTGGTAAGTCTAATTTATCTATATACAGGCATTAAGTTTAAATATCGGCTACAAGTCTACAACAGCTCCTCATTGTCTGTTAACTAGTAAAGCTAGGGAGAATTTCAAACTAAGCAGGGGGCTGACCAGAACTTGTTAAGAAAATTCCACATTGAATTCATTTTTTTCACCTTGCAAATCGCAGTGTCCATTCTGTAGCTATTTCATCATGTTTGGCTTTATCTTCAAAGTATAAGTGTGCAATACCAGGAACAACTGGCTTATCTGCAAGAATCAGGATCAAAAGATACTACCATCAGAATGCAGAAAAAAGGTGGTTATTATATTCATATAGTTAGCCCATTGAAACCAAATAATTGGAAGGACTTCCAGCATGAACCTGTAAGCGCTTTCATCAAACAATACATGTGCCTTTTGTTATGCATTTTTTTCTCATAAAATTAACATATTTTTGTCTATTTTACTTCGGTTGAGAGAGGGCAAAGGACTGCGGATAGGATACGAACTTACAGGTTTCTGGAGTGGTGAACATTGATCTCAGAGCAAGTAGTACTTTCGAGATTGTTAATGCTGGACTCCAGTTATCTGTTAGGATGTCCAAGCTAACATTTCCAGAAGGCTCAACATTGCAATGATATATGCGAGTTTTGAATACAACCTGCAAAAGCTTGAGGTCAGAATGAAAAGAAAAGGGACCTAAAAGATAATCTCCAGGGAATGTTTCCACCGCCAGATTCAGCTGATAAACAAGAAATATTATTAAGTGTGTGAAGATGATTTTTGTTTATCGGCTGAATTTGGCAGTGGAAATGTTTCAAATGAAGGCACCCATGTCTTTTGTTCAGATTAAACAATAAACACTATGTTCTTGAGAAGCATAGTACTGTATAAAGGTGAAAATAACTATACATATACCAGATCTTACGGAATTCATTCCTCACTTTACTCGTTTATTCTACACCAACCCAAAGTTTAGGAAGAAGCACATTTATCATTAATTTATGAATTTACTGGAATTGGTCGCATAGAGAATGATTTTGTTTCATGGCATAATTCACTTCATTTTCCGGTTCCGCAGCCGTTCTCTTTGTTGTCCTCTTCAAGCAATAATGCAGATTGATCATTTTAAACACAAACCATAAAGAAGATTATACAAGTACGGAGGAAATCATCATTAGCTCAAGTTTCAGCCTTTACACAGAGATAAATCAGGAGAAACAAGAATGCACCAGCAAGAAACTTAGCACTCAAATCGAACATCACAGCACAATTTCCTAGAATTCTTATCTGTGTGTAACCTTTTGTCTCAGAATTATAATGGCTAAAGAAGCTTCTATTATCCACCATGATGGTACTCTGCAGGTAAAGAACATGAAAACCCAAAATATTTGAATTACCATTTTAAGACATGGCAACCTCAAAGTCCTCAGAAACAATGTTTAGGATTCATGAAAGAATTTACATCTTTAAAAGATCAATGTCCAGCTATTGTGTGATACCTTCATCAAACATGTGAAGAAATATATAGAAGATTCATCAAGAGCATTAAGTTCCAGAGTGCTCATACATTTACACATGACCCAAAAATAGAGAACATAAGTGACAGTTTTCATAAAGGAAGGGAAGCAATCAAGCGACTATTTTATGGGAGGCAATTCTCTATAATAGCAGTTACCATTTCTTATGTTAGTTTTATTCAGCAGAAAGTACACTGCAAACATTTTATCAGAAGAGGGTGAACACGAAGCTTTGTGCAGGGCTTTGCAGCCCGTACTAGATTTAACATTTATATCAGAAGACAGAGTTTCTTTTTATTGGAAAATATTGGAAATTTTTCATTCAGACAAAATAGAACAATAGATGCCTTGCTTAAAAAAAGGTACAACACTATATGCACAATACATTCACTAAGGCATATTCTTCAACATACCTTTGGAGGTTTAAATGGATAATCAGAAGGGAAGGTTATATCGAGAAAATATATTCCACCCTCATAAGGTGTTCCTGCAAGAAACAGGAAGATATTCAGTCCGTGAAGCACCAGGAATTCTTCAGTGAATCGAAGCAAAAAAATAATTATCTATCTATTATCCAAAAATCAAGCAGAAGTATACAATCAAACTTAAAAACCCAAATTCATGTAAACCCAATAAATAAACCAAGTGCTAAAAAATTGTTATCCCGAGCATATTTAGAGCTGCCATGGAATTCAAAGAAGCACTTGTAGCAGCACTCAGTTTGCAAAAACAAAATGTATATTTAGCCAGCTTTAAAAGAAACCAGACAATAAGCACAGCCACATCAACATGAAGAATACAATAATCACTTTCATCAGAAATAGCATTTTCATTTCCTATTATTTAGAGATTCAAGATACATTAACAGTAAGGTTTCGACCTACGTGTTATACATCATCAGGCCAATTCAACAAATAAGCTTATGGAGTACCTTGCCGTGAAGGATTTAAATAATTATTGGATTCAAGTCTCACCACGACTCATTAACAAAAAAAGTATCTCCATGTGCTTGGCCCCTACAAGAATCAGGCCACACAGGATTTGGAGTTTTTTCTTTTTCTTTTTTCGGAAAAATCATGAGAGTAAGTGATAATACACACATGAATAAATAAATAAAAGCATCGTTTATCTTCTAAATGATGGAGTGACACACTTCAACACCGAATTGGTCAATCTACTCTAAGTCAATCCAACACACTTAAATTGGACTTGAGTATTACCGTTTGGACGATATTCGAATTTCAAGCTGAAGTTAAAATGAATAGTTTTTGTGGAAGTTCAATTGTGTTTGGACGCGAATTTCACTTAAAAAAACAGATATATGAGCCGAAACCAGCATTTCACTTGAAATATACCTTCAAAAAACTATTTCAATATTTCTCTTGAAGTTCACTATGTGCAAATTCTAAAATACTGAATTGCAAGTTTGCAAATACTGTATAATAGTACTTATGCCCAAAGGGGACTAAGTATCCAACTTTACGCTTCAAACCCTAACACTTCACAGTATAATCCTTCAAAAAAAAAAAATCAACACTTTGTAATACTGATCCACAAGAAAAAGAAAGATTAACTCCTTGTAGCTAAACAAAGAGAGGGGAATAGAAGACTGACCAGGTGGGCCGAAGAGGGTAGCAACCCAATGGTAAAGATTATCTCCTTTAGGCCCAGCTGCACAATCTGGTGGTGCCTCTATGCTTAGTTCAGTCATTTCCTTCTGTATTCTCTTACCGGAACTAGACACCGACGTCGTCGACGGCCATGTTCTTCCTCCACTACTACTACCGATTCCTATTCCGCCCGACGGAGCTCCGCCGTACATTGAAGATTATCTCTCAGTCTATCGAAGTGGATTGCTTTCTGCTTCTATACACATTATGTAGGTGTTTGGCCATAAGTTTTTGCAAGCTTTTTTCCAAAAAAAAAAAAAAAAAAAAAATCAAATATATGTCTTTTTGAGAGATGTTGATTTATCAAAATTCCAAATCCCAAATATAGCTTAAGATCTCTTTTTAATATCTCAAATATATAAGTTTATGTCGTAATCTCAAATTAATATACAATAATAAATAGGTTAGATATTTATAAATATTTAATAAATTTTTTTAATAAACCACTTAGGACTTTTTAGCTAAAAAAAATTAACATGTCAAAACTTACTCCAGAATTCATGTTCAATCACATTTATAATTTCAAATCAAACTTCACCCAAATCAGTTTTTTCAAAAAATATTTGAAAATCTATGTCCAAATGGGTCCTATATATGCAATAATTCACAAGGAATAATGCATATTCGTGGTTTAAATATTATCTTCTAAGTTTTCCCAATTACTTATATTTTAACTTATTGTAACAAATTATGGATCATTACATTTTGACAATTATCTTTTAAGTATAAATTAAGGATGTATATAAATGTTAAACTCTTTCTTTTTAGTAGTAGACAATTTGGTACTTAGACTCGTTTTGAGTTTCAAATGAGGCTTTAATTTTGTCCCTAGACATATTAGGGAAGAACACGAATTTTTTGCTAGCATTGGGGGATTTTGACAATGATTTAATTAAAATTTTATAAAAAGAAAAGATGAAAGAGAATACTCCATAGTTTATTGCTTGGCATACATAATTCTTTGGAGAATTACCAAAAATAATTGTTGTTTAAAAAATATTATGGTACATAGACCAAGTCAATAAGTATATCTAATGTATATTTTCACATGACATTTATTATCTTTCTATAATAATTTTGTTTGGCCAAACTTATGCCTTCAGAAGTATATTTATCGATTAAACTCGACCGACTAGTGTTATACAAAATAAAATACTAAAAAGCATATAGATCTCCTACATGACTAAAAGACTCTTAGAAATTAGTAAGGGTGGACAAACCTGAAATCCAAATTTTTTGAATTTTTTGTTTAGATTTTCGAATTACGAATTGAATTTTAAATTTAACTTTTAAAATTATTGGATTTCGCACTGAACATTGGATTTAGTACTTCGACTTTTTTGGATATTCGAAAATTCAAAATTCTTATACTTTATGCCCCAAAGAAATTTCGACTAGAAAGTAAGATAGAAGAGGGAGTAAGAGAAAAATTTACCCCATTATCCATATGTCAATAATAATAAATAACACGCTAGCTATTAAATATTATCTCATATATTCAATATCAATTACTATGCTAATGTGAGAATACTTTTTATTTGGACATAATTTTACCATTTCTATTTCTTATCGGGCTTATTAATGTCTCTATTGTATTTTATTTTTTTATAATAACTTCATTACTTGAATACTTCAGTTAGATGATTATGGTGAGAATGAGGAATTTTCAGGCAATTTAACATGAATATTTCATTCGGATATTCATTTTTGTAAAAAGAAGAAACATCTCAACTTACAAGCTCAAAACCCAAAATACAAATTATCCAAACCAAAATAGAACTTAAAAAATTGGATCCAATCCGGATTGTCAATTTCTTCAATTCGAAAACAGAAAATCTAAACCGAATTTTCATATGCAATCTGAGCTGCCCACCCCTAAAATTTAGTAAACATGTAACATGACTAAAGTGGATCTCATCAACAAGGATAAATATCAAAAAATGAATTTCAATCATCTGGTTGGTGTCAGAGACAGATATCAATCATCTAAACTGACTACTGAAATGGTTCAATTTTCCTGCAAACTACAAGGGAATCAAAAAGGCAAAGAACTGACTTCTAAAGAAGCTATTAAACAAAATGCACATTCACATCAAGCATCAACAAAGCAGAAAATACAGCCAATGTATACACGATAACAGTTGCTCGAATCGTTGGACCCTGAGAAGTCGGACTGATAGGTCCAAATGCTGCCGGAGGAAACAGCCCACCTGGAGTCGAACTATCGAATAAAAGAAAGCAATTTAGCACAGAGAAGCAATATTTTTGCAATTTACCATGCACACATATACTTAGTTTAGTAATCTCACCTTCCTGTAAATTTACATGTTTTGGAACCTGCACAAGGATAACCATCAAATGAGTCAAGCTTTAGGTAAGAAAGCAAAAAAGTGGTTCTGATAACATACACAGAGGATGAAAAGGGTTGCGATTTCAATGCATATTGTCTAGATCATTATCTTTCATAGCACCGAGCCTTTCTTACGTGTTAGTGCTATCGTTTTTCATCTATTTTCTAGTACTTATGATTCTGTTATTATTTCTATGCTTTCTACTGTTGGTACTGATATATTGTCTTTTTCGTCTGCTTGAGCGAGGGTCTATCGAAAACAGTCTCTCTACCCCTTGGGATAGGGTAAGGTCTGCGTATACTCTACCCTCCCCTGACTCCACTTGTGAGTTTTTACTGGGTTGTTGTTGTTGTTGTCGTCTAGATCATTATCGACGATTTTGCAAGTGTGATCCGGACAAGGGGCCAAAAGGGGAAAAAAGAAAGAAAAAGAAAACGAAAGAGCAAAAGAGCTTCATGTAGACTAAAATACAGAGACGGCATGTTGAAATGTTATTTAGAAATATACGGCTAGAAGCATTTTGCAATATTGTACAAACGCATACTTTGCATTTTAATCAATGTGTAGAAACTTAGAGAACCGTTGCCACATCTGTAAGAAATTAAATAGATATAAGTTGATTAACTTTGCAAAATAAGCAATGCTCCACTACCATATCTCATACACAAACATTTGAAAAAAAGTAATGTCATTCATCTAATGTAGCCATAATAAAAGTGACGAGAAAGGACAAGATAACTAAAGAAAAGAGTCAGTAGTCTCTCCGAACTCATTGTAAAGACAAAAAAGAAAATACATACTAAAACACCAACTATGGTAACTTACTTGGATCTTGTGTTGTCGTTGTTGCTGTACCATCAAAATCGCATGTTCCACCAAGACTTCGCATTCTCTGATAATAGTCATTGTACGCATAAGAAGCATGATTTTGCAACGTATCTGGAAAATAACAAGGCTGTCCAGATTGAATTGCACTGCAATTAGCATGTCCCTGGCCACAAGCCCAGTTAATTCCATCTTGCAGTTTGTTCTCATCTGCACCCTTTTTCGCTATACAGAAAACTGCAGTAGAATTGTCTGAAATACCGGCCGAGGAACCCAAGCTAAGGGAATAAATCTCGCTCCCATTTGTAGAAAAGATACCCCAGCTTCTTTCCGATATCGGTCCAGGTCTTTTGTCTTCATTGAACATCTCGTAAATAAAGGTGTTAATGGGATTTTTTGGTTGACTAGGTGGGCCAGTATCATTTGAAACACGCCGAATCAGGTTATTATTAAATGTTTCGGCATTTTCCTTAGAAGCATCAGGCTCATTGGCACCACCATCCCACGGCCAACCAGTCTCGGTCACAACAATTGGGATATCGGAAAAGTTGAGGGCTGCTATAGAGTTGTATGCAGCATCAACTAAAGCATCAAACATACTTACATAGTGAAACAGGGTGTTTGGGTCAACAATTTGCTTCACTGCGGAGAGTGGTTGGAAAAGAGCATATTCAATCGGAAAGATTCCATCGGAGTGCACGTATTCATAATATGGATAAGCATTCAACATGAAGTATGAGTTTGTGTTTCTTAGAAACTGAAGGATCTGGAAGATTGTTGAGTTCCAAGAAGAATTGAAAGTGGCAGTGGAAGGAGGAAATGCCCTAGCAATCACGTCCATAGATTGCGGGGTTGAAACTTTTACTTGGTGATTAAGTTGTGAAGCCACTAATGCTTTATGCAAGTAATTCATAGCGGGAACCAAAACCGGTGCAGCGTTTGGGATTGCGGTGAGAACTTCACTACCCACGGCAATAGCCGTAATATTTGTAGAGGGCATGTAAGCTGCTACATTTTTATTTACCCAAGCAGCTGCAGCTGATGGAGATTCTCCGATCCCTAAGACTTCATCATTTGTAACACCAATAATAACTTCGATACTAGAGTTGGCTAACGCATTCAACATATGAGCATCAGCATTAAATAGGCGCACATGAGTTATTTGATTAACTTTGAGGAGTGCAACCACATCCGAAGCTGGCGGTAAATTTGAAACATCGGTGCCAATGTTTATTCCAACAAATGCACCTACAATTTTGAAATAACATACACATTAAAACTCCAAACAAATCAAATCAAGGACAATACGTAAAAAGCTCAGCTGTTGGATCCTATTACAAATGAATCACATGAACAACAGAAAATCAAAACACAAAAAACAGGAACAACTAAGAACATAATCAAGTAACCAATGCTCTGAATCACCATACAAATATTAGATTATTATGCTGATAAGTAGAAACTTAAAGCATTACCTGTTACATTTGAGATGAGGAAAGAAAATAGTATGGATATCGCAAGCCACGGTTTGAGCATCATCAGAAGTATCCAAAATTTATAACTCTAGTATCAATCGGCCTGCACTGTTGCTTCAGACGAGGTTTGTCAAGAGGTTCTACAGGAAATAGAGTACAAAAATTAACGCGAGTTTCATTGAAAAGAAAGATGAACTCGGAAGTATGACTGCCTCAAAAATGTAGGTCGATTATTAACTCCAAATATAAACAGAAATGCAAAACCTAACAGGCAAAACACTTCTCCCCAATAAAACTGGCCCAAGATATCTAAAAATGAGCAAAGAAATTCAAAAAGTGAAGACTTTTATAAATTTAACTATATCCATCAAAGGCAGAATTCTTATTAAGAGAGTTCAACCACTGTAAAAAAACTTTGGAATAGATGCTCTAACATTAGTTAACGGTTACCTTCTACATCATTGGGTTTCTCCTAATAGCATTAACCGGGAATTAGAGAACCCACCAAACGAATATGAAACAAGGTATAGACGTGCGAGGAGCTCAAGAGTGATAATAGAACTCTTTTCTCTCCAGCTTGTTGACTGTGCCTAGAGCATGGGATTTTGTATAACAAACATGAACTCTACTAGAAGAATAATACAACAACAACAAACCCAGTGATTTCTCACAAGTGGGGTCTGGGGAGGGTAAGATGTACACAGCCTTACCCCTACCCTGGAAGGGCAGACAAGCTATTTCCGATAGACCCTCGGATGGAAAAAGGATGAAAAAAGTAATGGCAACAAGTAGGAACAACAGCAAGATAAAAAAAGACCGAAGCCAAGAAAGCAGTTAAACTCTAGGTAGTAATAGCAATCTACTAGAAGTCCAGAAGAATATACACGATATTCCCAGTCCCACCCCCAGCAATAAGAAAAAGGAAGGCACACTCTCATAACACAAGAAATCTTAGCATATTATTCCACTAAAGGATGTCTACTGTCTAGCGAATCCAGATTTCCAGCAGTGACAACTCCAGAGCAAAAGACCAGCACTTAATGCAGTCTAATTCATTAAACAAAGACCTAACAAAAGATTCAAACTTTTGGCAGTTTAGAATGCTGGTTTTCCTAAATAATAGATCACAGGATTCCCCAAATATTTGACATTTCAGTTTCAGTTATCTAATTCTTGGTACACAAATAGTGTCATGTACTTATTAGTCCACTTCAGGGTAGTTTAAAAACAACAGAAAATGTCACTACAGAGGTAGCATTGATTAAGATATTGTGCTTTATCAGTTCATAAGACCAAAAACAGTGTTCAAAACCACAAAACACTCACTCTCATAAGAGCAAAAACAGTGTTCAAAGAACTAAACTTTATCAAAAACTAACATTATCTAACACCTTAAAAAGCATAGACAACACCAAAATCCAAGAAATATTAAAAGATTAAGAAACCCTTTACAAATTTAGCCTCAACTTCAAAACCCCACATCTCAAAACTGCTTTTAAACACACAACATTTCAAACAGAAGCATTAATGAAGAAGCAGAAGAAAAAACACAAGAAATAAAGTACCTTAATTGAACTTCTGCTCCACTGAAGCAAACAAAGAAAATCTACTAACCAAGATCCTATAAAAGTTAGTAAACTCAAACAGTCAAATGTAAAACACAGACAGTTTAGAGACAAAGCTGTCAACCCAAAAACAAATTTTCAAGAAAAAACTGAAAACCCCTTTAACTTCTCTTCACTTTAGGTACAAAAACAAAGGAATGAGTGGTCATAAAATTACCTAAAGGAAACTGGAACAACACAGGACACTAGTCTACTGTAGTAACTTCAGTACCCCAAAATGAGCTGTTCATTTATTACTACATAAGTAATTATTGCTAAATACCATTAACCATCTTGCTTAAAGATTTAATCTTTAGCCTTAAAACTATTACTAATATATAAAAAACAAAAACACCCGCGTACACTATGAACCAAACAAATTATTTTATTCATGTCATTGTACATATCCTCAATAAAAAGATTATTTTTTTCATACTATATGACAAGAAAGTATAAAGAGACCTTAAATGTAGAGCTTGTGCTAATCTCAACTCTAGAACTTTACAGATACTGTGTACTACCATTTTTTGTTTTTTTACTTGTCTTTAGATGGATGAAATAAAAATATAAATTTCTTGGAATATGGAAAAGGCACAAAAAAGTAAAAGAAAAAAAGGTTTTTCTTTTTGCATTTTTTTTATTTTCTAGATCTTAAAGATTCTTGAGATCTGGGGACAGAGATTTTGAGACATATCGAGATTTTCGCCTTATGTCTAGCTTAACACAATCTAGTGGTACATTCCCTTAAATTCCTCTTTGTTTTATTTTCTTTTTTATTTATTTGATTAAACAAATGGGGGATAAATGTTTTTATCTTAAACTTAAAATAAAGTAAAAAGAAAGGGCCTCAATAATTTCAGGTTGAGGAAAAAAAACAAGAGAAAATGAAAAGTCTATAGTATAAGAATGTGGTAAAATGATTGAGTATTTATGAATAGATTCCTATCTTTTTCCTTTAGTTGAAGCCAACTAAGCATGTGTGTACTAAGGACTTGGAGGTATGGGCTCTTAGAATTCAAACACAAAAACAACAATAAAAGAACATAATAGACAACACCAGATTGTGATATATAAAGTCCATTTCTATGTTACAGCAGTATCGTTCTATCATTTATGTTTGTCACAATAACAATAACAACAATTCAGTAAAATTTTATAAATTATGTCCGGAGAGACAAGAGTATACGCAGACCTTACCTTTACCCCAAAAAGGTAAAGTAGGGTTGTGCATTTGGATCGGATATCCTAAATCCGAACCGATCCGCTCAATTTCGGATTTCGGATTATGTTTATTAAAATTTACGATATCCAGATCGGATTCGAATTGATATAATTTTAACCCGATCCAATTTGAAATCCGAAATTATTAGGGCATGTATAAATACTAAACTTTAATTTCGGATAGCCAGTACTTCTTTTACATCTTCTTCCAATTTATTACATTTACAATGGTTGGATTTTGCTACATTGGCACTATAGTACCCTCATAATTGTAGAAACATGAATTTTTCTTGTTGTATTGCCTCTTCTACAAAAAAAATATAAGTAAGAGTTTTGCAACTCAAAGGCATAACTCGAATCTCCAGAGAAATATGTTCTTAGAGATGCAATGCTAATAAAAGGGAAAAGTGATAATAGGCTATAATTACGTATTTTAGTCGCTTATTACACTTAAATTTACTGCACTTTAATTGAGTTTGAGCTTTAATCGCTAGTGTCTTGCACTAATTGTGTGTTTTATGCCTTGTAGGAGTGATTCCGAGCTATGTAGATGTTATGAAATGAATTCAAGTGATTTGGAGCTTTGAAGTCTAAGTAAAAGCTCAAGGAATTAAATCGGGATCGTGTTCGGGGGGTCAACGGATGATAGTTAGAACAAACAAAGAATCGAGTAGACATATTGCGCACTGTCTAGTAAAATGCACATAACTTTTTGCTCTGAACTCCATTTGGACTATATAATATATTGTTGGAAAGCTAATCAAAGGGCTACAACTTTCATATTTTACATTTTTGCAAAATTCCAAAAGAAACAGGGTGAAAAACGCGATCGAACCCGCGATTGCGGACCTGGTCGCGGACACAGGCAGTGCACTTGTTAATATGTGCGGTCACTAGCGCTCCCGCGCTAGTCCAGGCCTGGAAACTTGTCCTTTTTCACATTGGAGAATGTATAATTGTTTGGGCTCAACCCTGCTTGGTATATACACATGGAAAATGGTATTTTGAGAGGTTGGACATACTTTTAACACAGATTCGACCTAAGGAGACAGAGACACAATAGGAGCAAGGCGGGGAATTCTTCTACGAGTTTTTTCTTCCTCTTCCTATTTTTCATTGTTGGTTATGACTTTTAGTATTGTAGTTTTACATACTATTATGAATAGCTAATTTGTTATCTAGGGTTTTGATGGAACTTTTTGTATGATAAATTCTTGTTGTGTTTTTATATAATTGAGCCGTAGTATTTTCTCTATATGTTCAACTATATTATTCTTGTGGTTGATTGAAGGGCTCTCAATTAGCTGTGTCTATTTAGTATGTATTACTCGGGAGAGAGTGCATATTTAGGTAGTTGTTGAACAACATCACTCCCGACGTATGTGAGGAATCAATAACCAAGGGTTTAAAGGTGGGATTAGGGATAACGAAACCTTGGGTGCGATCTAAGTGAGCTGTAATTAAAGCCAGCTAGCGTAACTCGGGAGAGTATGTCTAGTAAATTGTCGTAATTACTCGGGAGAGAATTACAACACGCAGAGCGCTCATGATCGGTAGAGAATACTTAGGCGAAATTATAGAAGACATAGCGGGAAGGATTCCGATAATTGGGGAAATCATAACTCTAGACTTCCTTAATCTTTGTTTTCAACCTGTAGTATTTTTAGTGTTAATTTATTATTTTAATTTGTTAGTTAGTTAGTGATCATGCCCAACTCTAATCCTAAAAAGGATAAGCGGTCGCTGCAAATATAATTCGGTCTAAAAGTCCGGAGTCGAATCCCACAGGGAACCAAGGCTTAGCTATATCTGTTTAATATCACTAAAAAGACAAGTTTGAACAATTTTCTAAGTTATAAAGATTGATATTTATATTTCTAACTAATTAACTAGCAAATACTAGAAAACGGTAAAATTATCAACTAACGAGATAAATGGTTGGAGACTAAATTAAAGAGGTCTAGAGTTATGATTTTCCCAATTGTCGGAATCCTTCTAGCTATATTCCCTACAATTTCGCCAATGTATTCTCTACTGATCGTGAGCACTTTAGGTGTCGTAATTCTCTCTCGAGCAACTACAACAATTAATTAGACATATTCTCTCGAACTATGCTAGTTGGCTTTATCTAACCGCTCATTATGACCACATCAAGACTTTGTTATTTCTAAACCTACCTTTAAACCTGTTGTATCGATTTCTCACATACATTAGGAGTGACGTTGTTCAACAATCACCTAAATATGTAACCTTTCTCAAGCAACACATAATAAATAGGTACAGTCAATCGATGGCCATTCAATCAACAACAATAAACACGTAGTTGAACAAGTAGAGAAATCCAACGGCTCAATTATATAAAAGCATAACAAGAATTTATCCTACAAAAGGTTCTATCAAAACTCTAGATAACAATTTAGCTATTCATAATAGTATGTAAACTACAATACTAAAAATCATAACCAACAATGAAAAATAGGAAGAGGAAGGAAAAACTCGTTGAAAAATTTCCCGCCTTGCTCCTATTGTGTTCTTGACTCCTTAGGTCGAATCCTAGTTCTCCTTAGCCTCCTTAGGTCTAATTTTTATGTCAAAAGTGTGTCCAACACTTAAAAATACTGTTTTTCCGTGTATATATACCAAGTAGGGTCGGGCCCAAACAATTATACCTTCTCCTACGCGAAAAAGGACAATATTTCATGTCTGGACTCCCGGGCCGCGGTCAACCACGGTATATGGCAGGTATACTGCCTCAGCCCGCCTCAGCTTCGCGGTCGCGGTTTCTACCGCGCTTTTCACCCTGTTCCGTTTGGAATTTGAAAACCCGTAAAACATAAAAGTTGTAGCCCTTTGAGTTAGCTTTCCAACCATATATTGTGGAGCCCAAATGGAGTTCTGAGCAAAAAGTTATGTGTATTTTACTAGACAGTACACAATATGCCTACTCGAGTCTTCGTTTTGTTGCTTTATCATCCGTTGATCCCGGCTTAATTCCTTGGGCTTTCACTCAGACTTCAAAGATCCAAATTACTTGAATTCATTTTATAACATCTATATAGCTCGAAATCACTCCTACAAGGCATAAAACACACAGTTAGTGCAAAACACTAGCGATTAAAGCGCAAACTCAACTAAAGTGCAGTAAATTAGAGTGTAATAATTGACTAAAATATGCAATTATAGCCTATCATCAGAACACAAGAATCTTAATATCTATAAGTTAATAATTGTTCAAGCTTGTATTCTTGGTGATAGTGAACAACTGTAGCTAAGCTTTAGTTCTCTGTGGAATTCGACTCCGGACTTATAAACCGGATTATATTTGCAACGACCGCTTGTCCTTTTTATAAGGCATAGTTGGGCGTGATAAAAAAGCAAAGAGATATTTGTATTAGCACATAACACCGAAGAAGCAGATAAGGCAGATGCATTAGCTAATTAGCTTAGCAATAGCCTTAATAATACGAATAATCCGATCCAAAATCCGAATTATTTATCCGATCTAAACTTTAAAATTCGATCCGATCCAATATTAATTCGGATCGAAATTCGAATTGCATTTTATAGAATTCGAAATCAGAAATTTCAATTCGAAATATGCTAAGTCCGATCCATACACAGCCCTAGGGTAAATGAGGGTATTTCTGAAAAATCCTCGACTCAAAAGAAGAAAATAAGCAATAGACAATAGATAATAGATCAGTGACAAGCAACATAAGCCAAAAAATATGTCGTGACAACTTATAATGATTATTTTCCTCTCTAATACAACTCAAACTAGTGAACAACTAAAATCATCCGTTATACTTTGAGCTATTTGTTTTGTCTTTATTATAAATTTAATGGAGCTCTGGCGAACCAGAAAATTCATTAAGGGTGTTTAAAGTATATGTAATTTTGAAAGGGTGTTTAAAGTTTATTTTTTAATTAATAACACATAATATTTTACCTTATACATGGAATAATTTTTTGGCAAACGGTGCTCAGTTGACTATGCATAACTTCGCCCCTGACTCCAACGAGGAGTGGGTGAATTCTATGTGTCAAATACTTCGGAAAAAAAGGTTTTATTTGTCCCTTTACTTTTAACTATGATTTAAAATCATGTTCAATAATACTTAAGAAAGGAGCTCTGTTAGAATCAAGAGTAAATATGGGATTATTTATTATGTGTAAGCGTATGAATTATTCGATGTATTGGATGAAATATTCCACTAAACTAATATAAATTAGTTATATAATTACTTAATTTTTGAATTGCATATAAGATCAAAAGTAAATCTGGTTTAATAAGACTAGTGAAGTAATTCACATGTTAGATTTATATATACTTTCTCATTATTGTAAGATTAGATAATATAAGGAAGAAAGTCATTAATTTGGTCAAATGTTTGCAAATGCAGACAAAGGCTTCCAGTTGGAAAGTGACAATTTTTTCAATGGCCAACATCATTCACAATATGTTGCTACTTTTTACAAATTCCAGATTTACCTATTTCCTCCTTTCTTTCTGTCAGGAAGCATATGCTTCTGGTGGGACCTCTATTTATATTTCTTCTAAAGAAAACAAAATCCTTTTACATTATTTAATACAATTTTTCACGTGCATATTTGAAATAATATATATTTAAATTATACATGAAAAATCAAATTAACTTCCTAGCGTCCGTGTTTTAAAAGATGTTTCCGGAGCGAGTCCTTGGGCGAGACGCACCAAAAATGCCTCGAGGGATGGTGTGGGGCGAAAATCTCAAGTGGCATACACCCAACAATTCGGGTCGTATGTCCGGGAGTTCGGGGCGTACACCTGGGCTTGAGGTGCGTTTTTGTAGCCTCCAATCGTGTGGGATAGCCACTTTTTAAAGTAGTATTTACTTTTTATCCAGCATTTTTAATGCTTAGCAATAGTAGCCACTAGTCTATTAAAATTAATATGAAAGGATTGTGTTACCCTTTCTTCCATCCCTTTCATGTGTTAGGGAGAAGAACAAATGGCACACTCTTCTTCATCTTCAATGGGTTTGGCTCGTGTCGTGTATGCGTCTGCCATGAATTAATTCCATTGATGCACTTCGGCTCTTTTAACTATCTAAGCAATTATTTCTTATTCTTAAACAAGCTTCCCAAAATAGAGATCGGAGAAATAAGATGAGGTAAATGCTTACCTTAATTCGACAGTAAACATATGTTAGATTTGCCACATAAACAGTTCATATTATATATTAAATTTGCTTTAATATCTACATATCATAAACTTCAAGTAAGACGATATTGATAATTAAATCATATTTTCGTAAGTTTCAACTGATTAACTGGATGAGCACTGACGGATATGAAACTAGACTTATGTTGATTTACTTTGAACACTTGGTATTGAATTTACAGTTACAAGTTCAAAAGTTAAGGACACTTGGTCCTGAACTTCGAGTTCTAAGTTCAAAAGTTAAGGACACTTGGTCCTAGAATTACAAGTTCAAAAGTTAAGGACATTTAGTCCTGAACTTAGACTAACAGGCTCAAAAGTTAAGGACAATAGGTCCTGAACTTACAATTACAAGTTCAAAAGTTAAGGACAATAGGTCCTGAACTTATAGTTATAAGTTCAAAAGTTAAGGATAATAGGTCCTGAACTTAGGCTAAGAAGCCCAAAAGTTAAGGACAATAGGTCCTGAACTTACAGTTACAAGTTCAAAAGTTAAGGACAATATGTCCTGAAGTCCTGAACTTAGACTAACAAGCTCAAAAGTTAAGGACAATAGGTCCTAAACTTAGCCTAAGAAGCCCAAAAGTAATGGACAATAGGTCTTTAACTTAGACTAACAAGCTCAAAAGTTAAGGACACTTTGGTCTTGAACTTACAGTTAAAAGTTCAAAAGTTAAGGACATGTAGTCCTGAACTTAGAGTTCCAAGTTCAAAAATTAAGGACATGTAGTCCTAAAGTCTTGAACTTAGATAAGGACATGAGCAGAAGGGTATTTTCGTCCGAGCAGTTAAAGTTTATTAAAGCAGTGGCTAAAGACTAAAGACATTTTAAACAGTGGCTTAAAAGTAAATACATATGTTATTAGTGACTAACCGTGCACTTCCCCCTTTTTGTAGTGAGGCATAAGCTCTAGAGATTTTTTTCAAATTAAAACAAAATTTGTTGAATAAGTCCTTCATATAATATCCAAATTTTCAAAAGTTAACTTGTAATTACTCAAAAGTTTTAAAAAATAACTGAAATGTATTAAATTTAAAAGTCAAGACCTTTTTTTATTGATTGAAGCCCTAATTTATGATTTTTTTTCCAATTCTTTATCTAGTCTGCTAATATCTCCCAAAAGCAATGAATATTCAATTTTTTTTAACAAATACACAAAGAATTACATTCTCCTTCGTAGCAACAAGTTCAAAGTTCAAATTGCAGGTTAGTCATCCTTTTTGTTCCTACATGTAGAAAACTTTATTCTTTTCGGCCCAAATTACTAGTGCTTGTAAGTAGCGTATAATATATTGTTTTGACTAGTTTTTTTATGGAGATGGAGCGCGCGCACACACACACACACACACACACATATATATATTACACATTTATAATTTTCTTTAATTTTTATGCAATTTTACCTGTTTATAAATATTTACTATAATTATATTATTTTATATAATATTAAAAATTAAATACTCATGGGGCTTACGTCTCTTATCTCGGGCTTACACCTCGCTAAAGCATATAAAACTCCTCGCCTTATGCACATGCCATTTAAAGCACCTCTTCGTATAATAGCATCATGGGTATAATTATTCACATTGGCATGAAAAAATGTATATAGATTACTTTATACGGTATACTGTACTAAATATACTGAAATTTAAAATGATAACCAAACATTGGATAAAATAATACAAATATTCATACTGTGATTATTTTTTGCTAATTCATCAAACCAAACGTTTTCCTTAGGGTCTCACAATATTATTATGTCACATAGTATTTGTATAAAGTTATACTATATAAATTATCGTATAAGTTATTCCAGTACTAAATATGCGAAAATTCAAAATGTTAATCAAATATCGGATACCATCAAATTATCGGATAGAGCAACTTACTTACAAAAAAACCTTTCTTCTATCACCTAATAATAAGTAATTACAGTCCATCAAAGACTTTCTTCTATCACCTAATACAGATTCGCCCACTATAAAAATCATTTAAGAGAAAGCTTTCATATCGAGAATTTCTTCATTCTTTGAGCTCGAATCGAAGATCTCTAGTTAAAGATGGAGGATCTCATTCGTTCCCCCACCTCTTGGTGGCGGCTGCGGCGGCCAGTTAAGATCAAGCAGCAACGGAATGCTTCTCGACTCCTCCTGAATCTCATCAACAGTAGTCAAGGAAACCTTAGTGTTTGTTGCTTTAATCGCAAGAGGTCTGTGTCTTCCCATGTGACCACCCAAAGCTTGACCTAATGAGAACTCTAACCCACAAATTGAACACTCGTGGACCTTTGGCTTGATTTTGCTATTCTTATTATTACGTGAATAACCTCTGTTTACACTTAGGGTTTTCCGTTGTACTGCCATCAAGGTTTGGACAGACGAGCTAACGCTAGCTCCTTTGTCCACTTCCCCACCACCAATATTCAAACCTAAACCAAGTTCAAAAGCATCTCGGTTACAATTATTGCAATAAGCATTAAACTGCATCCTGGAAGATGTACCTGATGATATAATCAAATCATCAGTAGGACCGCCAGCAGCAGCAGTCGAAATCTGTTGCTTCGACTGATGTTGCTGGCGGTCGTCTACGCTCCTTGAAGGAGACGAAGTGATATTGGGATCTGAGATCATGCTTTCACCCCACCCTGAATTATCAGAATAACCGCAGATGATTCCATCAGTATTAGAAATAAAGGAATCACTATCTTCTGTAGTTGTGTCCATAGACATCTCTCTAAAACTTTCTGCTTTTTCTTCTGTTATAAATTGTTGGAGTTACCTACCTTCTTTCCTACTTCGCTTAAAAAAGAGTGAGGCCTTCACATATATATTAATGTCAATATGTCATTTCGAGAAATTTCGCTTTCATTTGTTTCTTTCCATGAAATTTACCCTTCTCATACGTGTAAAGAGTGGAACTTCATCTATGGACGCGCTTATGCGAACGCACAATAATTTGGTTGGGAAACAAGTTATTCCATAATTAATTATTCCGCGATTAATTACTCACCCTTTCATAGGTATAAAAAAATACTATAATCTCGAGATAATTAATCCCGAGATTAGTTATCCTACGATTTTATTCCAACCAAACATGGAATAAACTCACCTCAAATTTAATCCCAAAATTAATTATACCTCGTACCAAACAAGCCCTTAGTGAAATAGATAGCTCAATTTAAAACATTGGTAATATACGAAGTGTTCTTCCAACAAGGAAATAGAGTCTATAATATATTTACTTAAAAAACATGGGAAAATCAAATAGAGTTTAAGCGTAAAAATATGCATGTAAATTTGTTATAATCTATTGCAAGACCGGATTAGATAATAGGATGAAAGTAATTCATTTGATTCAAATATTTGCAGACCCTTTGCCAAGGCATACTAAGGCTTACAGTTGGGATGTGAGGATTAAGCAGGTGTTCAGACATAAAAACTACATAATTTTTAACAAAAGTAATATTTGAGATCTAAAATTATTTTAACATGCATTTTACTTGAAGAACTATTGCAAGTTATGTGGGTCGAAAAAAGATACTAAAATTTTTAAAAAGTGAGATTTTGAAAAACTCATTTTCGAAATTTTCAGAAACTTGCAAAATTTCATGTAGAAACAAATTATTGAAACTTTTTTTGAAAACAAGGAAAAAAGCAACATATTACAATGCACTCCTTAACGCACCTGCCCAATATGGCTCTCAAAAACATGCATAAACTCAACAGTAACAAGCATAATCAACCACTATTATAAATCGTTCAATGTCATAGCCAATCAGAATTCATGTTGTCTACTACACAAGACAAGACAATACCAACTAAGTTTTACTCGAGCATAGATAAATAGAAACACCAAAGAGTCGTACAACTAGACTGTGATTCAAACTACTACAGCATTAATCTCCAAGAGATAGCTCAGTGTCGTGGAGACACGTCATGATCTGGATCCCTCGAGTAACGGACATCACCTGGGCTCCTGCTGCGACTGGGACTCCTGCTGTGACCCCTAACCGGAGAACGCTCCTTAACTGGACTTCTGCTGCGGCTCCTTCGACCATCATCATATGGTGAATGCTCTCTGACCGGAGTTTGACTGCGACTCCTTGACCCATTATATGGTGGAGAAATGTCCCTTGCAGGGGAACGTGAGTATGATCTCTCACGGCTGTATCTTTTCTCTTCAGGTGAAACAGACCTGCAAAGTGAGGAGTAAATCATCATTTACAGAAAGATGGAAATTTGGATTTGAACAAAGCCTAAAATATAATTTTTCGCACAAAAAGCAACCCAAGTGATAACATAAGCCGAAGGCAACAATGCTTTTTCAGCCAAAATTAACAGAAGACATGCAATGATGCACAAAAATTGAAGTTAATATCAGCAGATAGGCTAACGGCTTGTGTTGGATGCACACATGTAATTAAAGACCTGGAGCACCTTTAGTTACACCACGGATCTAATTCAACATAAACGTACAATAAACATAAAATAATATTCTTGCATACCTCGAGTACTGCCTTCTCTTAGGAGAGTAGCCACGGCTGCGGGACCTTGCATAACGTGGAGGTGGAGATCTGGAATATTGAGGTGAGTACCGTCTCCGATCATAGCTGCGGCTCCTACCACTGCAAGAAAATCAAGTTAAAGATAAACATTCAAATGCAAAACAATCAACCCAATCAATTCTAGAATCACATCTATCATCATTCAATCATTTGATTTAAAATGGAGGAATACTAACTAGAATGACCAAAATATAGGAAACAAGAAATGTGAAGGTAGATTATTGCATAGCACCAAATCACCAATCTTTAAACTACCAGATATTTAGTTTCGGACACTATGCTCAACACCAAAAAATGGAGGACAACCAAGATTCAAGTAGTTGTTCACTGAGTAACAAGCAAATTCTGGCTACCCAAGACAGAAATTAAATGGGCTAATATGATGTAAGCAAATGAAATAGAAAGTATTACCTTCCACTACGTTCCCTAGCTCTCATTTCAGTTGGCTTTTTCCTGTTTTCCTCTGCAAAAACCACAGTCAGTTGCCGACCTTGAAAACCCTGCCCATCCATCTGATACTTAGCTTCTGCAGCATCAGCTGGATCCACAAACTGGACAAATCCAAAGCCACGTGGTTGACTGTGCAAAGGAGGTGGAAACAAATGAAGAAAGTTAGAAAACTTGAGATTCGATAAGCATGCCGTATGGAGTTCTGCACATGAACCCTAGCCAAAGCTCTCTGGGGCAGCTCGAAAGTAAACCCAAGTCAGAATATATGTCTGATCAGGTTTTAAGTTCCAAATTGCCAAGCACGTGAGGTTGAGAGCTTCAGTCTCACCCCAAAAAGAACAACTATCAGGACCCAAGATTCTAAGAGAGATACAATAAAGAAAGTAAAGGACTAGCCGACGGAGTAACAAGACTTCCAAACAGCCACAAAACAACAATAGCAAAAATAATCCTACTAAAATAATGTCTTCATAAGCACATAAAGCAAGCACATGGCTGCTGACCTTGAATGTATCAGATTAAAGATTGACTTGAATTTCTTCAAGACTTGAAATCTTGAAATCTTCACATTGTATTCAAATCCAAATTCCTTCAAATCTTCACTACCATTAACATCACCTTCAACTCTTACTACTTGATTGCTCTTACTACTTCAATGAGTCAACAGAACTCTTACTACTTGATTGAAGTCTTCAAAACTCTTTAAGTTTCGCTGCTAAATCTCATCAATTTTAATAATAAAGCACAACCCAACTTGACATAACAAAAAGATTTAAGAAAAGAATCTAAAATTAAAAATACAGTACGGATTCACCAAAAATGAAATTTAGGCTAGAACTTTGGGGAGGCTGGGGGGAGGTAGGAGCGGTGTCAGCTTCTCAAAACTAAAATATAAAATTGCTACTTTTGACAAGAAAGAGAGCTTGACCATAAAGATCGAATGTCTTTTTCTATTTTTTGAAGAGAGTTGGGGGGGTATGTTTCTGCTCTGTTTCTCGTTCTTCTTTTTCAAGGGGAAAAGTTTAGTAGATGAATAGATCGCATGCAAATCAAGCTCACCCAGTGTAGTAGTCCCTGGGCAAGTAAATGTCCTTGACAGGCCCAAATTGCCCGAACGGCCTTCTTAGGTCTTCTGGCCTGCATACAAGAATTAAAGTGAGTTGTATAGCAAGTTACACAAATACATATATACACGCACACATGGAACAGGTCTAGCGTAAGTAGCTCAGAGTGCTCTAAAAATATAATTAATGAATCTCAACAATGCTCTGTCTTCAATGCCATCTCTGCTATATGAAAAATTTACCATCTCACCCTCTTCTCCACTGGCTGTTCCTCAAGATAGGAATCATCTGAGCATTTTCTAACAAAATGCTAAGTCTATGTGATCCACTACAGGCACAAAATTACTTGAAACTGACTTAATGGTTCAGTTCTGTTTTTGCAGAAAGGAAAAAAAAGTATAGCATGCTTCAAGTCTAGCTCATTAAAGTTTGAAAAGGACGGTAATTAGTGCATACCGACAATCATGGCGAAGATTTCGAACTAAGAGACTAGTAGGAGCATCTCTGCTACGACCACCATATCGACCCCTGGGGCTCGGGCTCCTCCCTCCTCTCCTGCCATAACCTCGTGGTGGTGATGGGCTGTAACTCCGTCTCCTCATTTGCAGCAAATCTGATATCTGTCCACAGTTTAAAAAGAGTGAGGAAACTCTTACAAAAACATAAATGTCATGATATCAAACAATACATAAACCACACACTCCAGGATCCAAAAGAAAAGGACGATAAGAAAAGACCACGCATGCACCCTGAGAAAAGAGAATGTCTACTCAGATTATCAAACAATATTCAATCAGAGGAGTTCCTGCAAACATTACATATCTACTATCATTCTCACCTTACAAAACTAGTATTGATGCCAACCAGAACAAAGGAAAAGAGGACAACAGAGGCCTAACAATTCCTTTTAGATGGGTAAAAAAAAAGGAGGCAAAACAATTTTTCAAGTCCAAGGGTAGCAAAATTACAAAATTAGATAACTTAGTGGAATTGGTGCGGAATGGAAAGAGAATGATCAGCTAGAGCTAATACATGATAAAGTGCTATCATATCAGCAATCACTCGTATGAAGTTCATCATGTCATTCTCCAACCACAAATAATAAAACCCACAACATGTCAAACTTCTGTAGAAGCCGTCCATCATTCTACTATTCTACTAGGTGCACGAGGAAGGAGCTTCTGACCCTAGATAATATTTAACAAATAACAGCATGGTAGAATTTAGGTACTGTAAACATTACCTATCTACTCTCACTCTCACATACACCTACAGTGAATACAAAGAAGATTGTACTTTAGAAAATTCCTATTGACGTCAACACAAAAGAAAAGACACGACAGGCCCGATAATTTCTCTCAGATTGGGACAGAACAAGAAGGCAAAAATAGTAAGAAATTTTTAAGTTGAATAACATGATCGAAAACAAAATAGAGCAACAAAATTAGTGTGGAATCAAACGAGAATGATCAGCTAGAGCTAATACATGATAAAGTGCTATCATATAAGCAATCACTTGTATGAAGTTCATCATATCATTCTCCAACCACAAATAATAAAACCAAAAAAAAAGTCAGACTTCTCTTGATGTCCTGATTTGGTTCTACCTTGCGAATATATACATGCACAAGATTGAAAATTTTGACCCTAG